TGGACCCGTTCGCAACCCGACCATCCTAATCACCCAGCCGCAACGTTCGGCCAACTAGTAGAGCTCTTCACAAGGAAGTTGTCAGCTCGTCTCTCTCCAATCTATCTGTTGGCGGCTCTGACACCAAGACAGGCTTCTAGCGTGATCACCAGAGAACCGTTAACGAGGAAGAACGAGGATACCATCCCCCGGTCCTTTTGGGTAGCTATCCACCTCCGATAGCGGCCTCAGAACAACATCTCCCGAGGGTCACTCACTGTACTCTAGGTCAACTACGCAGTGGCTACTGCATGCTCCTTTGCCAGTACCAACACCGGATCCACCCGTCCACACCCGACTGCTGTCCCGACTGCAACGTTTTTCCGCATGATTGTCAGCATCTGTTCGCCTGCAGTTCTCGGCCAGGCCGGTGGAGGTCTCGGCTATCCTCCGTCTTCCAACTACCACCAGTCTGGATTCCGGCGAAGACTTCTACACACATATATATACCAGTACCGGGGACTCCAGCCTAACCTGCCCCTATTCACAGCACGCATCGGCCTGGTTGGTCACTTGCTAATCCGTCGCACAGAAACTCGATCTTATTTGCCTTCCAACGAACGGAAACAGTACTAAATGTCAGCTTCGAGCTATCCACAGAAGCTGACCAAGGGAACCTTCCATTAAGGAAATTCAAAACAAAAAAGGAAATAAAGGATAAAAATTCGGATAAAAGACACGTACTTTTGTGGATGGCATCGATATGTCGACTCAATGTTGACTTCCATGGAAAGGCTTTGCCACACACTTCACATACAAAGGCTCGTAGTTCTACAATAACAGAAACCGAAAAGGGAATAAAATGGGATAACTTCTTGTGGGATATCGTGACATTCTTGCTAACTGAGAAATGTACAGTAAAGCATGTAAAAATAAACTGAAAAAATAAACCACCATATATGTGGGAGTAACTGCAGATTATATAAAGGCGTTATGATGGGCTTTTTCAGTTGGTATACAACCTACTTTTGGAGGGATTGCTTCAGAGTGAAAGCGGACTCTCTTTAGCCTCCAAAGATTCAACTTCTTGGCCTCCTAAACCTGCACTAATAGGTCGGTGGTGGACATGTCCTAGCAGATTAGACGGCAGCGGATTTGAGTTTGAAAAGGCAGAACCGCAAACTTTACACTGGGGTTTAGGGTCCGCAAAGTTGAGAGTTCTGGACTGACAGTAGTTCACTGGAGCAGGTTTTGATTCAGACTAACGCTCAGCGATTTGCACTTCATTACACAAAAATGGAACTGTCTTTATGTGCAGATTGGCATTCGAATTAAAGTGGCTGACTGGAAAGGGTCTTTGATTCATGCTGACACCCAGCCACACAGACACAGTGCGATGTTACGGTACGCCCAAAAAAATATCGCTTAGGCCCATCGTATTTCTTCCTGGAACTTCTACATACGGTTTGGCAAAATGGATGTTCGACCAACTTGAGTTCCTGGCAGTAGTCATACTAACTGCCATAGCTTCTGCCAAACAGTTTCTTGAACGGATAGAGCATATGAACAAAGATACAAGTAAACCCATGGCATCCTTTCGTTCCGTTTAACGCTTCACCTCCATTCCACAGCCACTAGCGGTCGATGTTGTGAGACCACTTCTAACCGAAAGCTACGACGAGAGGCACCAGCTTCTAAAGTGCGAATATTTGGCCAAAATTCTGTGACATTGCTTTTAAACCTGCTTCAGATTAAGTGGATAAGTTCACGAACAAATTTAAGGCACTCCCACGGGCTCCCTCTGCCAGGCCTGACTATTGAAGTGGTCCTTCAAAGGATGGACCAAGTATCAAACAAAGTTTGGGGCTTGCACAATTCTCCAAATAATATCTGACACTGAGCGCTTCAAAGCGGGTGGAAAATTCTGAGGCTGAAGCAGTCGCTCCAAAGCATTTGTCTGTTAGTTGACGACCGCTACAACCTTTCTAACCTGCAGGCACTCCGTTATCCCGCGCCCAGCCCCTCCAGGCCTCAGCTGAGTTGAACCACAGCTGCGTTCACAACTAGGGCCTTCTCAGGCATGTCAACCATCGTGATTAGACATCCCCGACTTCCACCCTGAAGCCGACCAATTATATGGCTAACACTCGACCGGCCTCGCCTACATC